ATAGACCAAACAGTCGTGGAGGTCCAGTGGCTATAACACATATCCCAGTCGGTTCGGTTTTTCATACAACTGAGAAAATACTACTGCCACATCTATTGTTAACCCATCGGTGGTAGAAGTTTCAACTGCCGGTTTTCTTCCTTAGGAGGCCTCACTATCGGTCCAGCCGGCAGTGGAAGTATAACACCGTCGCTTTTATCGCTACGGCAGTGAAAGTGGCACGACAGCGATATATCAATCTGAAGTAGTGATAAAGAGAAACCAAATACCACAACTAAGACTGAGCACCTAAAAAAATACAACAAACATGGAAAGAGGTCGACATGGTTCAGAATCATGCACCAACGCTAAGGGGGGCTAAATGATAGAAAGACAAAAACTCAAGGCAATAAACAAACTTGTTCCCAAAAAAAGGCAATAAACGAACTACATTTTTTTCAATCAATTTTTTTCATCAATTATGGACGAACTATAGTGAAAAATTTAAACATCAGACTGGAATGCCATTGAATCAATTGAACCTAAAACATCCTGCAACTCATTCAGATTTTTTTCAATGCAATCTAGCTTTGAAAGAAATTGGCTACCACTGATATTCAAGCATTTCGATTTACTCAAGAACAAGAGATTGGTACACAGTCGACAACATAAGAAACAAACCAGGGTCATAAATCTTAGACCAATACTGAAAGCTGATAACAGATAAACCAATGCCTAGTGATTTACTTCAGGGACTAGGAGCAAGCCATAGTTGCCAACCAAAGAAGGAGGCCATGCCATAATGTATGGATGAACGGCATCCTCAAATATCTTCTTGAACAGTCTTTCCAAACTCATCGTTTCCAAGCATACGGACAGTAAGCAACATGGGGTTTGGGGATCATTAACCGATGTTGCCAAATACGCATAGCCATCCCGGACTGCAAAAACAAACAGATCACTACGGTCACCCACGACACTGCCATCGGCTAATCTGACTCGGAGAGCTCATTCAAGCACCCATCTCTCGACGCCATCATTATCCCTTGTGGGCATCATGACACCAACATCCAGACAATCCGAAAAAACAATGCAAGTTGTGCCATCCTTCCAGTTGCGGAACCAGGGGCAATGACACCAAAACAGATTTTATTTTATACCTGTATAAATATTTGAATTTATAGCACAAAAAAATATCAATTTTCACTCATTTTTTATTAAAATATTGTGATTTTGCTTATAAATAGTGTAAAAGCTTTTAAAAACTTGTTGAAACATATAATTATATATATTTTATCATACTAAAAAAATACGATCATATTTATCCGGTCCTCTTAATCAAAATTGTTGGTTCCACCTCTGCATCCTTCATCTCGCCAACATCAGAGCTATGATACTTAAGGCAGTCTGGGAGCTCAGTGATGCAGAATTGCATCGTGGCAGTGTCCAGTGAAATGAGGTAGCTCTGATTTTCGTAAACCCAGTACAGATGCCCATTTGCTTGCATGCCACTCGCATCTTGAATCCATTTATGACCACCTGAACTCGCTGGAACGTCCACCCAGGGTTGAACTGACCATTCCCAAGTGTCCAAAGAAAAGACCACTGCCCTTACCCTACACTCGTCATGTACCCTGTCATAGGCAAGAAGCACCACGCGGAATGACATAGGGTTCTCGGCAGAGATGAGCAAGCGAGGGATGGCCTGAGAGCAATCGCCACGGTGGCCGTCAAACATATCGTCACAGCCCATATCAAAGACATCCTCGCTCTACAACGCCAAAGGGTCGGTTGAACACGACGAGTGATGAGAAATCCCAATTCATGAGGAGGACACAACCGTGGCAGCAGTCGACGATTTCCCAGGTGGGGGCTTTGACGATTCCCCAGGTGGGGGCTTTGTCGGGAAGGTCATAGATGGAGGTTAGGAAGAAATCGCCGCCGCGGACGGCGGCACATAGATCCATATCGCGGCTGCCGGAGGGGACGAAGGTTGGGAAGGCAGGCGCATTGGAAGCCTGCACGGGACCGGGGGCATCCAAGAAGAGACCGAGGAGGGGCGCCGGGTGGATGGCACGGAAGCGGCGGTGGAAGGCCGGGCACGAGGCCACCGCGTAGCGCCACGCGCGGCAGGTGAAAGCGGCACAGACAAGAGTGGCGAGCGAGGGGAGGCGGAGGAAGATCTCTAGCAGGAGGTCATTGCCGAGCTTGTGTATAGGTGAAGCTCCGCCGCCTTCATCGCAGGGGGAGACGGTGGTGGTGGTGCTGCTTGGCTCCTTACGGCATTTCGGCGGCGGCACCTAGGTAGGAGAGGAGTCGCCGCCGGTCATTTGGGGTGGTGGATTGAAGGATTTGCGTTGGGTTTGCTGTGAAAGTGAAACACGTAGCCCTCAACGAAGCGAACACTAGGGAACAATTATGAGACTATTTTTTATTTGCTTTCTTAATATTGATGGCGAACAGTAGAGAATAATTATGGGACTATTTTTTATTTGCTTTCTGAATACTGATGTTTATAATGAAGGATCTCATATTTATTATATATAATAATCCAAATATATCTTAGAGTTTGGTAAACATTCACATGATAACGAACTAGAATAGGGATTCCTCTTTCTCCTCTTTCTATAATTTAAAGTCCCTAGATTTTACAACACTCACGTAAGAAAAGGTCACCTCCGAAATTAACTATGAAAAGGTCACTGTTTCTTTCTCTTTATTTGATTTAATATTTTCACTGTAGGGTTTTTTTTTCCCTCCAGATTCCTAAAAAAACTCTGAAAACTGCGTAACTATCTTCCATGGAAAGCTGCGGGCTCGTTCTTTGTTGTCTTCCCCCCAAGCCAAGTCACAGAGTCTGACATCCAAAACATTTTGAAGCACCCGTACCGTATCAGAAACAATTTTAGAGGAGTGACTGACTATATTTATTTACTACATAATATAAAGCTTGGCATTTGTATATTTTTTTATAGCAGACTAGAAAATATCGACCCGCGGGGGCAAGACAGTCCTCGGGCATTGTGCTTAAGAAGAAGACATTCTCATACAGGTCGAGAAAACCTCCGAACCTCTGTCACACCCATACACAGCGACACCGCAGCTCCCATGAGACTGGGCTGACCTTAGACCTGTGCTTTAGCATGGGATAGACGAGGGGATTTTTTTCAACGCGCAGATAAACTACGCCTCCTCCGGCCAATAAATCCGCCCCCGAGGGAATTCGAACTCTGACCGGCATGGTGCAAAGCGTACAGACCAACTGATCTAGTGTCCGCTTGAATCGGATGAAATCTCTCGCGGCCATTATAACTCATCACAAGTAACATATACTAACAAAATGCTACTTAATAGAAAACCCTTTCTTTGAAACAAACAAACAAACTAGAACACTCAACGTTTACCAGTCATCGAGAGAAAAGATCAAGGTTTAGCATATGTGGTAAAGAACAGTTGTCACTGGACAATCAATGGAACTGATGTAATAATAGGCTGGCTGATCTTCGTTGATAACTTTGTACTTCCTGGTGCCAAATTTTGGTGCTCAAGCTAAAAAAAATGGCGCACCTCCACCTATCAACCTCACATTCTGATCAGTACAGCTCCATCCGGTACTCACATAGTCAGATCTGATATGTGCATACGTCCTACTCTGCTCCTTTGTTTTCCAATTCTTTCTTTTATCTTTTTATTTACCTTTATTTAGATTTCAAACTGTGGACTGACTGCAGTAGTGCATACAATTATTGTTTGCAGTTACTTAACAGTTGAACCAAATGTTTGACAAATGATATTTGTGCATAATTTGTTTAGTTTCACTTGTATAAACACCGGTCGACCGTACATTAACCATCCTAAACTAGACTCAGCATCCAAATTTCTCCATAAAACTTCATTTGCATAGGCAATTTAACTTGCACAGATTATGAACATCACAAGATCCTGAACCACTCTGCAATTTTTATTCACCCATTATATACGCTATTTTTCTTGGCAATGCACCCAAGTTGTAAAAATGTACAATTTCTTATGTTATTTGTTGAAGCAGTAGTAAGTCCAATTGAATCTGTACAACAACATCAGGGGCGTTGTTTCATTGATTAAGCGATAGAGTTATCATAAATTCTACTATATAATATTGTTAAACCTATAACTGTCATCTACTGCACTGTTTAAAGCATCCTGAAAGGTCTGTATTACTATTTACACTACAAATCTACAATAATGAAGCATGCGTTAGATTTTGATTTAACTCCCTACAACAGTCTACGTCAGTGCTATGACATATATCATGAGCGTTTGCAGCAATGATGGGATGACTAACCATACACAAAACTTATCAGGCTCTCAACCTCGGACAACACCCTTTTAGGATTTAGATGATCCACAATTCCACGTCAAGCATGATTAGTGATAGTAGGAAAAATGTTGGTTAAAAGATTGTATAAGAAAATTTCTCTTCAAATATATTATTATACACAAAGGATGTAGATATTCTGTTACCATCTTTTACAGCTACTAAAGGACTAAGGCAAATCATGTTAACTGTCAACGCTAAGAACGAAAGCAAAGTGTATATGCCAATTAACATGACCAAAAATGCACGAGTGCTGTTCCAGTGAAGAGTAAATATTCCTTGCTCTTTTGAGGACACAAGTCCTTTCAGACAGAACCAAGGGAATCCAAATAGTATAACTGAGCACCAAAAAACGAACACAACAAACACGGAAAGAGGACGACATGATTCAGAATCATGCATGCAAAGGAGGGCCAAAAGATAGACTGACAGAAACTCAAGGCAATAAACAGACTACAGTGAAAAATTAAAACATTAGATTGGAATGACATAGAATTGAACCTTAATCATCCTGCAACTCAGTCAGATTTGTTCAGTCAATGCGTTCTAGCTTAGAAAGGAATTGGTTAGCAGTAATAAGTTATCTAGGCATTTCGATTTATTCAAATAAGAGATTGGTTCACTGTTGTTTTCGACCAACACCACGCAGATGCAGCACTGTATGTCACGGAGCACCTTCAAATGCGAACGGCCCATAATTACCAGCTAACAAGCAAGTTGGCCAAGGCATGATATACGGATGGCCATGGCCGTCATACCCGCTCTCGAACAGCTTCTCCACCTTCATCGTCGCCAGGCACAGGGACATGAACCAGTTTCTGGGATCATACAGCGTTCCAATATCAGAAAAATACGAGTATCCATCCCTTACTGCTAAACCAGAAAACTCGCCAAGATTGATTCCTTGAAGCTCTCCATCCAATTCCAAGCGGTGCACCCTGTCAAGAACCCATCTCTCAACACCATCGTCGCCCCTTGTGTGCTTCACGACACCAACATTGCTGTATCCATCTGAACAAACAATGCATGCAGCGCCATTAGAGCTAGATATCGAGCTGGTTCGGCTTGGCTCGGCTCAATCTGGCTCGGTAGGATAACGGGCTGGCTCGGCTCGGCTCGTTATACCTGACGAGCTAAAAAGCTAGCTCGTTTGTCTCGGGAAAAAGCTCGAGCTAGCTCGTTTGGCTCGTGAGCCAGGGACAAAAAAAATGTAAAATGAAGACTACCATACATTTTAATGAGTCATACATGATACACCACATATTTATCCATCATACATGCTAGCAGCAAGCATCATATGCATACACATGCAATAGAGTACAAATTAGGTCCATCGTCCTCATCCATCAACTATCGCCCATGCAAATTGCAAAGTACGACATCAGCTAGATAGAAAGGGCGCATAAACATAACATAAGTTAACATAGCAGAATGATACATTGTTGTAGTTCCATCATTCTGTATTTTCATGCAAACACACAAAAGGCATGGTCAGTTAAGACTTCTCCTCCATGGCAAAATGTCCCTCGTTCAGTCCTTCCCCCTTTCCTATATGTCAATAACAGTACAACAAACAACACTGTGTTAACAAGATGATAAGCAACAAGAAAAAAAGAATGCACAAACTGAGCACATGTACCCCACTAGACACTAATTGCTTGACACCATGCATTTTGCGAATTCAATAGACTCGACATCATCTTCATCATCTCCAACCTAAAAATAGAAAAAATATTAGCATGTCACAAGACAAACAAAGTTAAACAGAGAGAACAAGTTATATACTTATATATATGAATCCATACCACAAGAGGATGATTGTTGTCATCACAAGTGCCCCTTATCCAGCTAGATGCATACACTAATGCCTGAACTGTGGCCAGCTTTAAAGAGCTTCTGTAGTCATCAAGAACTCGACCTGCATTACTGAAGGTGCACCCTGATAATACACTGCTCACTGGAACAGCCAAGAACCTCTTTGCCAAGCTAGACACAACTGGAAATCTATGACAGTTCACATTCCAATATCTAAGTAAGTTGAAATGCTTGTTATCTATGGGCTCATTTAGTTATCTAGATAAATGAGCAGCTCAGATTTTGAACTCTCTGTAACACTAGATTGCAAAAATGACTGAAAATCACTTGCAATAGAAGCCATTGAGCTGGTTGTATCAAGTGAAGCTAAGGTTGATTGCCTGTTCGTGCCATTGTCACCCATCTTTTGCCGATTTAATATCTCATACTTGTTAAAGAGCCTTTCCAACTCTTGGTTGATGTCATTAATCTATAACACCAGCTTTTTTCCCTCATATCTTTGCCTTCTTAGCCTTTGATGTGCCATCATCAACCTCATCAACCCTTTGGCCTCCACTTCCACCATCAACTGTAGGTAGGCTTTCAGACATATCATCCCTATGGTCGAAGCTATTATCATCGTCCTCCTCATCTTCTAAAACTTTCTCCAATGGCTGCACAAAGAAACATACATGTATTAATGTATAGCTGAATCATTGCTATTACATTAAAAAATAAAGTATGACATTCTTCATTTTTGGGGATAAATTCATTATCTAGATAGCAATAATTAAATAATCTGGATAGCAATGATTCCTATAACTACGGACCAATCAATGAATCAAGCAAATTCAACATTCAAGTCTGTACTGTATGAACTAGTATTTGGAAATTAGATAACATACCACCACGTCCATGGATAGAGTGGGATTTGATGAAGACCGAGTGCTAGTTCCTCGTCCACAAAGCTTACTCCTCGACTCCAAACTTGGAGGACGTGGCGATGCACTATTCTCGCCCTCCATGGCCACGGCTGAGGGCCTGGAGCACAGCAGTCAGCAGGTCAGTAGCAGTTCGGCAATCGGCAGAGGAAGATCTAGAGGAAAAAGGAGAGAGGAGTGACCGAGTGAGGACCAGAACCAAACCTGCTCGCGGATGGAGAGGCGCTGGTCGTGGCATCGGGCGTCTCGCTCGCCCCGTCGTCGTCGCGGTCGCGTGCTGGCCCTGCTGCAGTCGCGAGCTTGCGGCGGCCAGGCGGCTATGTGTGAGCCCCTGAGGAGGCTTAGGGTTTTGTTCTGCTATGTGCCGATGTGTGCATGGGCTGGGGGCCTGTGGGCTGTGGACTGCAGCAATACGGGTGACGGCCTGACAGGTGGCTGCGGCCTGCAGACTTCCTTTCCTGGAAACGCAGCTCGTTGAGCTCGCAAGCAGCTTGCGAGCTAGCTCGGCTCGGCTTGTTATACTAATGAGCCGAGCTAGCCGCGAGTCGAGCGAGCTAATGAGCTTCGAGTTTTCCGTCCAGCTTTAAGCGCCATCCACTGTTTCACCGGCATCTAAGGTAAACCTCCAATCAGGGCTCCGCAGGCACTGTGGGAGCTTGGCGAAGGAGAACTCCATCGTGATGGTATCAAGCGATATCAGATAACTGTCATCCCTGCGATGCCCACGCCACTTGTAAATCCAGTAGATGAACCCTTTCGCTTGCATCTTCCATTGATCATCAATCCAGATTGCGTCACTACCATCCTCTGGTCGATCTGATTCGTCAAAGCTATTGTAGATTGCGTCACTAGCATCCTCTGACCTTGCCGGGACGTCCACGGCTGGGAGAGCTGACCATTCCCTTCCCCCGTGTCCGAGGAGAAGACGGAAGCCCGCAACGTACAACTGCAACTGCCGTAAGCCAGAAACACGACTCGGAACGACGACGGTGGGTCGTCATCCAAGCAGATCAACCGAGGATGAAGCAGCTCAGTCTCGCTCTCGTGTTGGTATGCTGGACCTGGGTATCGGAACTCATGTGCACTGCGCCGCATCAATGGGTTTAACACGATGAGGGGCTCGCGGCTTGCCTTCATCATAGATATCACTGAGAAGGACTCTGCCGCCGCAGCAATCGAGGATCTCCCAATAGGGATAGGAGTTCTTGGTGGAGCGCTCCAAGAGGGAGGTGAGCAAGAAGTCCCCGCCGCGAACGGCGCCGGCCAGGTCCCAGTCACGGAAGCCACCGGGGACGAAGGAGGGGCCGGTACAGCGCGTCCATGTTGATACTGTCGAATAACATCCCGAGCAGCGGCGGCACCGGGTGGAGGGCTCGGAAGCGGCGCCGGAAGTCAGGGGAGGAGGCCACCGCGCGGCGCCATGCCTGGCAGGTGAGAGCGGTGCGGAGGAGCGTGGCGAGGGATGAGAGGCGAAGGAAGATCTCTAGGACCACGTCTTCTCCAAGGGAAGATATGTGTGTGACGACCGTCGAAGCATCGCGGCCACCAGTCATGGCTCCACGCCGGCGAAGATTGCTGATGGGCTACTTGCGGCGGCGGCTAGGGCTGAAAACCTGATGTCTATTTTCTGATTATTATATCCCTCATACAAGGGTTGATGACTTGATGTATTATATAGAAAAATAATAGTTATCTACATGTTATATTTGAATCTATCTGTATAAATAAACTAGGTAAATGTCTGTACGTTGTAACGGGAATACATAATACCACGATAACATATGTATGAGCGTATGTTATACTGTTATCTAAAATAGATACCGTAATCATAATATTTCAATCAAATATTACATAAGTCTTCACGAAAGATAGATAGTTAAAATATAACTCTAAATTTGAATGCAAAACTAAAACATCAACTTCAATTGTCGCATCACTTCATACCTACTATTGTTGCCGCACGGGTAGATGCATGGGAGCGAGCGGCTTTGGTGTCGTACCTGTGGACGGAATAGTTATGAATATTTTAGTTGTAGAGATAGAGAAGAGAAGAGATAGCATCCTATATGCATACGCTCTGTTCGCTTGGCTTATAAGTCGTACTTTTTCAGCCAACGAATAATATTTTTCTCTCACAACAAATCAGTCAATAATACTTTCAGCCATGGCTTATCAGCCAAGCGAACAGGGCAATAGTCGTTTTGTATTCCCTTCAGATAAAGACGAAGCATTGACTAATTATCGACAAAAGATGCTCGACAGTCCTCCGAGGGGTATCCCACGAAGATAGATTGATCGGTGGAGGTACGCGTGATAGGAACCGGATGATATCCGTTGTGCAACGCCGTCTTGAGCTTGTCCAAGCAGGTGCGAACAAAGCTGAGCAGTCAGACTTATGGTCCGACCACCGTGATGAGTCGCCGAACAGTTGTAAACCGTCACCGAGCAATTGTGAACCATCGCCGAGCAGTGTATCCCAAGTAAGGCTTGCCATAAGGATGTAAGGAGCTCAAGTTCAAAATCTAAAAATTCTTCCACTTAGGAGAAGTGTAGCCACTTAGACTCTGTCAATAAGGAGGGTAAATCAAGAAATAAGCACTATATTCACCGCTAGGTAAAGTGTAGCCACTTAGTCCCCGTGTCTGCTGGAAGATGAAAAATGAATCTTGTAGCAGGGTCAAAGAAAAGAAGTCTGAAAGCTTGCCGACGCCATCTGACATGTGCGTATCAAGACCCAGACTTGCTGCCCAAGATCAGCACCTTGATCTGAACAGCATGGAGCAGCTTGATAGCACACCGATGAGACGTAGCAAGATCCGATCACCAAGGGAGTCCTCAGCTTAGCTGGCGATGCTTACATGAAGAATCCGAGCACCGAGGAGTCCCCGGCGTAGCCGGCGATATCCGAGCACCGAGGAGCCCCCGACCTAGCTGGCGTTGTCCGAGCGCCGAGAAGCCCCCGACGTAGCTGGCGATGTCCTAGCGCCGAGGAGTCCCTGACGTAGCTGGCGATGTCTGAGCACCAAGGAGTCCCCGGTATAGCTGGCGATGTCTGAGCACCAAGGAGTCCCCGGCGTAGCTGATGATGAAGCACAAGCGACGAACAGTCTGATCAACTGGTCGTCGGTGAAGTGAGCATTGAGTAGAAGCAACCAACGAACAGTCCGATCAACTGGTTGGCGACGAAGTCCATGAACCTAGCGGTTTGACCAGTTGATCGGTGGAGAAGTCCGAGCACCAGGTGGTCCGATCACCTGGACGATGATCCTGCAATACAAATATATAGAACGGGTAGTACATGATGTAGAAATATATGAACTCCGGAGAAGAATCAGCAATGATGATAAAATAGCGTATGCAGCTAGACGGTCAGTTGGTGTGAACACTTAGTATTATTCTGAAGATGTATTTATATTTAATATAAATTGTCCGACCAGTTAGTGTGTCGCTGAGTCTCCAGCCCTAACTAGCCCGTTAACCGTAACGCGGAGCGCGGAGCCCGTGTGCGTGTAGGAAGAACAAAGCGTCGCTAAGGAGCCGCTGTCGACCACCCATAACGTAGAGTGCAAACGCTCGGGCACGTGTAAGGAGGAGCAAGAGACAGGGCCGTCTCTGGGGACATCCGAGCATCAACATGACTATTCGGGGGTTCGGAAAATCATTTGAAGAGCAAATATGGAGAAAACAGCTCGGAGAAACATTATGGCGATATACGAAGATTGAAGAATATTTAGAAAAATATTAAAGCGTGACTTAGCTTTAGACAAATGTCTGGTCGGCGACGTATGGCGTTATCTGGTCGGCGACGCGGGCAGCTCGCTTGACGGCTGGAACGAGGTTGACCTCGTGTTGGAGTAGGACGAACGTAATCAGAGCTTGGCGGTGCCAATTCGTGTACAAAGACGTGCGCCGTGGTTGTCGAAGGATGTCGACGCGATCCGCTGAGTTGCCGCGAAGATTGTTGATCTTGAGGTATGCCATCTGGTTCGCTAGGGATCAGCGCGCATGAGCTCTACGGTGGGCGTCAACTGTCGACAAAAGATGCTCAACAGTCCTCCGAGGGATATCCCACGAAGGTAGATTGATCGGTGGAGATGCGCGTGATTAGAACCGGATGGTGACACAAGGCGTAGACACAGCGATGTAGATGCCTTGGACTAAGTCTAGGATCTGTATGGGGATGTCGACTAGGGAACCCCTGCCTCTCCTTATATACTCTGGAGGGGTAGGGTTATAAGGAAAGTATCATATTTGGTACTATACAATATCTTATGATGCATGTCGACCAGTGCCGTGCACGCCTTGATCTTATGGGCTGTACCACCTCTAATAGTGTGTCCCATGTCTTGTCTTATGGATACCTGTCACACCCCCAAAAATTCCATTTTGGGTTGTGAATAGTTTTCACTTAATAAAATTAATG